CGTGTTAGCTTACTAGACTGACTATTACGGCTCAAAACCGTTTGCAGTGGCGCAGGTGCATTTATTCTTTGTGTTCTATGAAATTCTAACCTCCTGAATTCCTCATCACCCCTATCTTTCTCTTTCTAAATTTACCTTACCGAGTTATCCCTCTTGGATACATCTTCGAACCCTAATCTCTCTGATTACCGCTAATACTACTACAACCTCTATTACTATGGGATTTGAATTGCCAATTATATCTCTATGCTAGTGTGGTATGACAACTTGAACTGGTGTACTTACGTACGAAGATCAACTATGCAACTGACTGACGAACTGACTTGAGGCGAGTGGAAAAGAAAGTTTATTTGGCTGCCGAACAATGTACATTCAAAACTTACTTGTCGAAAAAACATTCCTTCCTTCATTTCTTGACCACTAACATTTCTGATTTTCATCATGTGACCTTGTTTAACCTCTTCTGATTGCAAGTGAGGGCTTGTCTTGTGACGCAGTTGGGTGCTTTTCGCAGTATGTGTCCTATCCACTTCCACCGCTTCTTCCTGATTTCCTCCTCCACTGGAATCTGGTTGGTCCTCTCCCACAGTACGTTGTTGCTGATCATGTCTGGCCAACGAATCCGAAGTATTTTACGTAGATAACTGTTGATAAATACTTGTATCTTCTGGATGATGGCTTCGGTAGTTCTCCAAGTTTCCACTCCATAAAGTAGAACTGTTTTGACATTTGTAATGAAAATCCTGATTTTGGTGTTGATTGATATTTGTTTGGAGTTCCAGATATTTTTCAATTGTATAAGTCAGTAAATAACTCAACTCCATATGAATCGCAGAAAAATTAAGAAAACAATTGAAACATATTAGAAGTCTAGAGAAGAGACAATCTAGTTATGTGTAGTTTTGGTAATTGATATAAATACAGCATTACCAGTGTGGTATGTATACTACTCATAAGATGACTTATATGTTGTATACAACCAAAGCCTTACCTACAAGTTTCTTTCAAAAACTAGAGTATCAGAAGATTAGAGTGCAGAACATGATCTGAGTATTTTGGATGTGTTAAATAAAACTAGACAATTACTTTAGATCAGAGGTCTTTCTTCTAAAATTGGTCACGCATTATGAGTTGTTAATTTAAGTGCTTGTGGACCTCATATTTTCTGGATACTCGTAGAATACGCTTTCTACGCCATATAGTGACTTCTTCCTCTACGCAGTGGGGCCTTGGGACACTCGGTTTACAGTAGCCTATTATGTCACTGGATCATTTTTCTTCGCTCTCGTTTACCGACTAATGTGAATTCGTAATAGCATTATAGCACATCAATTGACGAAATAATCCCGACACTATAGTTAGTGAACATAATAACATAACCTAAATGTTTTTTATTCTTACTGTGTGTGTGTATGTATATTTATTTAGTTCCAAAATTATTTACCTGAATTGGAAAAATTACGACGTTCAAATCATGAAGCGAATTTACGTGTAGCAGCTATGATTAAATTGACACAAGGACGTGAGCATTCTTTAACTGATCAAGATCGTGCTGCGGTATGTGTTGCATCTTTTATCTGTTTTTTTTTATTACAAAATGTCTAGTAGCTTTGTTGAGTATACTCCGTTCTACTTATCACTGGTAGACAAGTACTACTACTACTACTACTACTACTACTACTACTACTACTACTACTACTGTTGATAAAAATAATAGTAATAATAATGATAACAGGACTTTACTTTTCTGTATCAATGTTTCTTAGAGATTTGGCCATTCAATAACTTCAGATATGATGACATTTGATTGGTTAATAGAAGTGTCACTGACATGACTGACAAATTGATATCAATTTCAGTGGGAAAAATCTCCTGAACTTGAGTGAATTTATATATTTTTTTTCAAGTGTAATGTATCTTAATCAAAAGTACTGTCTGGCAATAATTTTGAGGAATTTTTTAAAGTAACCTTTTAAAATTTCAAACTGGTTGTTAGTTAACCAGTTAAAAACAATTAGGGTGTAGTGAGTAAATGACCACTGGTATCGTGACTGTTGGTATCCAGCGTGCTCTTAAGCTTCGTAATTAGTCGTAATTGGTCCAGGATACACGTTGACTTCGCTGGTCCAGTTAATGGAACTATGCATTTAATTGTGGTCGACACCTTCTCAAAATGGCCGGAAATCAACCCCCGTAATGCCGCCCACGACAACTAAGATAATACGGCTCCTCACTAAAATTTTCTCTCGAAATGGCATACCAGATGTGGTCGTATCTGACAATGGCTCTCAATTTACCTCTACCCAATTTCAAACTTACTGTCAACGGCTAGCCATTAAACACTTACGCTCGCCACCATACCACCCACAATCAAATAGGCAAGCAGCAAAGTTTTTGGATACGTTTAAAAGAGCACTGCTCAAGTCAAAAGGGGAGGGGACACCAGCGGACGCTTTACAAAATTTCTTATACGTCTGTCGAACAACACCTAATGAGTTGTTACCGGAGCAAAAGTCCCCAGCAGAAACCCTGAGTGAGGGTAAATGGGATCGGTTATATATACCAAGAATAAAAACAACACTAGTACAATTTAAATCGAAATACACTTACTTATATCTGTAAAGATTTTACTTACTTGCCAATAATTAGGGAATAAATATCAAACATGGCTGAAATATCGGAGATAATATATATATATATATATATATATATATGCATTACGGGGTTGTGAGGATTGTTAAGTTACACATTTTTGAAACCATGAATCGATCAATGTTAGACCACCATTAGAAACCTGGAAGCACTGGACGGCCGTTTCGTCCTGGTATGGGGCTCCTCAGCAGTGCGCGTCCACGACTCCAGTGAAGTTCAACCTGTTCGGGTGTAGGCAGTGTCTACCGAAGACTGTGTATGAGGTTGCGCAACTCAGTGAATTTGATCAAGTTAGACGTTAATACCGTCGGATGCCGGCTCAGTGGTCTAACGGTCAGGGGGTTCGTGCACAATACCGAAGGTCCTCGGTTCGAATCGTGCGGGGTGCGGGAGTCGTGGATGCGCACTGCCACTGATGAGTCTTATTCCAGGACGAAACGGCCGTCCAGTGCTTCCAGGTTTCTAATGGTGGTCTAACATTGATCGATTCACGGTTTCATATGTATATATAAATATATAACTCCGACTGGAGCCATTCTACGGTTACAGCCAGTCCAATGCCTATGTAAAAGAAGTGGGCTGGGCATGAGGTTAGCAACTCCATCTCGTAGAAAACCAACTCGCTAAACAAACGCTAACCAAACAAAAAAAGAATTCAAACCATTTACATAAACTCTGCCCTGACGGTTTGAAGGTCTTCAGTTAGAACAGTTATGACACCCCATGATGAAAGTTGAGTTCCTTTGGAAGTCACGAGGCAGATATATATATATATATATATATATATATATATATATATATATGACAGATATGTCAAAATGTATACTGCGTGCAACTTTCTACATATGATAAATTAATTACTGTCCATGTTTTTTATCGATCAGTTATTCTTTTGTTTTTCTTGGAAAAATAGCTATCTACTATTCCACTCTTTCCAAATATATCACTTCATGGAACTTGGGCAGGAATGTCTGCTGGTTTGGAAAATATCAATGTTACATCTGGACGATCTATGTATTTAGCCCCATATCATACAGTCAGTGGTGGATCATTATCTCCACATTTAGCCGGCAGTGCATTTCAATTTATTGGCAATTCGTCCGCTTCTTCTGGTGGTGCTGCAGGTGCAGGTGTCGGGGGTGTCGGTACAGTCGGTGGTAGAGCATCTGTACCTGGTCAACCTATGGCTAGTCCAGATGTGATTATGTTGACAAGAATGTTACAAGAAAAAGAAAATATGGTAAATCATATATGTACATATATATAAATTGAATATTGAACTGTTCAATAGTTTCAATAAACAAGGTTAATTAATAAACACATTGATGAATTTTCGATATTTTTTTATTTTAAATTTTTTTATTAGCTTCAACAACATTTACAAGAATTAACTAGATTAAGATTTCAAAATTCTGAATTGGAAATACGTTTAAAAGCCACCCAACGTGAATTAGATACAAAAGCAACTCGTTTAAATATATTGGAAACTGATCATCATGTAAGTTAATTTTGATGTTGGTCATAATTATTTAAAATGAATAAAAATAGAGTTGAATTAATTTAGTTTCAGTTTCGATTTGGAGATTAATTAAGTGGCTTATATTCATCCTAGTAATGTGGGTCTGTCAGCTGACCCAACCTTTTTTCAAGGTAATCCACAGATGGGGCTTCAATCAATAAGTTAACGTCACAAGTTGCATTTGTTGAAAATTCAGTGAGAAAGTCAATTGTCAGTTGACAAGTAATTTAATTTTTTCTAGGTTTGTCTCCTCGTAAATTCTGTTTTGGAAGACCGGAAAAAATGGGGCTATGTTAGTGACGAATTTACCATTCAATAATTTAAAAACTGTATGATAAAGGAAAAAGGTTTGATTGGACTAGTGTCTCATTCGATGACAATTCTGTGATTCTGAGAATCAGATTGGATGTGGTGATTTCAACTTTTTTTCAATAGTTCACTGTCATTTTTTGGGGCAGAGTTTTGGAGGTTTGTGTTTTTACACATTTGAAATCATCAATCAATCATTGTTAGACCACCATTAGAAACCTGGAAGCACTGAGAAACGGCCGTTTCGTCCTGGAATGGGCCTCATCAACAGTGCGCATCCACGACTCCTGCTCCTCGCAGGTTCGAACCCGGGACCTTCACTGTCTATTTTTTAGACAAATTCTAGTTAGGGCGAACAAATACTGTATTCTAAGCTAAAGAAGGTCTTAACGTCGACATGGCTGTAAGCTTTATGTACTGACCAGAGGGTTCTCTAACATTTGATGGCTATCACACTGCAGTTTAGAGTAGCTTGTAAGTGTTCGCTAATGATCAGTTCTTGTTCATTGTGTTTCTGGATAACAGAAAGTTCAGTTTTATTCATTATCTATGTATCCGTACCTCGGTGACCAATATGCATAATGGTACATTTGAAAGGAATTATCGGCAACCATTAAAATCTAGACCATTTATTCGAGAGTGCATTCTACACAAACTTACTTGTTGAAATCATAAATCAGTCAATATTAAATCATCATCAGGAACTGGGAACATTGGACGGCCGTTTCGTCCCAGTATGGGACTCATCGACAGTGACCATCGACGGCCCCTACACGTGGTCGCGCAAAATACTGGATTGATCGAACAAATATATTAACATCGTTGGATATCGGCTTAGTGGTCTAGAGGTTAAGGGTTCGCAGGCGAAACTGAAGGTCCTAGGTTCGATTCCAGCGAGCGCGATTCATCATGCATGAGCACTGTTAATGAATGTCATACTAGGATGAAATGACCGTCTTATACTTCAAGGTTTCTAGAGTTGATCTAACAGTGATTGATTCACAATTTTATTAAAACCAAAAAATCTCCACAACCATATAACGAAAACTCACCTGTTTAGGCAGTTCGATTTTTTCTGGTACTTATACTTTTGATGTTGTCTAGAAAGGCAATGATAATTTGACGACTAAACCTCCTAGTTCAGAAAACACACATTTGTTAAATAAAATCATTTCCGTAGTTTAAGAATAATATACTCACTGTAAATCCTGAAAGTTTGTCGCCCAATGTCAAGTGTGCTAATAGGTTTTCATCACTGCGACCTATAAAGTAATGACCTCTCACACCCAAAAAATAAAACAAGTTTACACATTTTCAAACGAGAGGCTGACTAAAATAAATTTTGACAAAACGATGAGAAGCCGTAATTGATCTGAAAAATGTTGTGATGTATTTGCGCCCTATATATTTTGAATAATCTGGTCACACACATGTACACTTGTCAAGGCATTTTATATGAACGTTAATCAAAGGTCAGTTCAATCAATAAAAGTTCAAATAGATATAAGTTGATAATTGTGAATGAAGGAGAGAGAATAAGAAAGGGTAAGAAATTGTCACACTACCCTTGGTCATAAAATAACTTAAAGATTACCAGGGTAAATTCAAGGTTATAACAAATTATTTCCGTACACATAAGGGTTGATGAAAATTTACGAAAAGCTGAGGCTTCCATAAACCTCAAAATTCGTCCTTCACTGTTTCTATACAATGTTTTGAAAGCTTTCTGCATGTCAATCATATTCGCTGTCTGAATTATGTGTTTTGCGATCGATGAACATAGGGTTTTCTGTTTTCCATGTGATGCAGTGTAAAGACATAACAGAGGGTTAATAAGTACTTTTAATTGATGTTCAGTATCACATTGTTCACACAGATGTCATTCATCAGTACTGACGGTCTGGTGTGTGACGAAATCTCAGCACGGATACAGCAGGCTCGATTGGCTTTTGCTAACTTGCAGCACTTATGACGTAGGCGAGATATTCGTCTGCTAGCTAAAGGACGGGTTTACTGTGCAGCAGTTTGCTCCCTAAAACTTTATGGGTGTTAAACATAGCCAGTAAGAGTAGAGGAAATTCGTAGGTTATTAATATTCGATTTTAGATGTCTATGAAGCATTATTCACATATCCTGGGACAACCGACTAAGCAATGCTGTTGTTAGGAAACGAGTACTAGGTAAGGATGGCAGATCAATATATGAAGTAGTGGAACTTCATCAGTTGAGGTGGTTAGGACATGTGCTACGAATGCTCAACCACAGACTACGATGTTTCGTGATGTAAGAGTAGGTTGGAAGAAAGTTAAGAGCGGCCATGAAGTCACTGACAAGTGGATTGAACCATGTTGGTAGACGTAGATGTTACGCCTGGACGTAACAAGTCAACTTGATATACTGGAACTGTTGCGAGTTTACTTAGTTGGAAAACGAGAGCGAGGATCGAGGATCCGACGACACGACATGCTACTCTAATCTGAGTGTCCCAACCCATCACTGAGTAGAGTAAGAAGACTTGATATGAAGTAGAATGTGTATTCTACAAACATCCAGAAAGTGTGAGGTCCGAGTCCAGAAGAGTATCAGGATCCCGGACTAGGGATCCGGGACCGGGTCCTAGTCCTGGTCATAAAACGTTACAGATAATGCGTATTTATACATTTTGGTGGTATATGAAACAGCATCGAAGTCTGTGACATTGACAGTTAAGACGACCAATAGGAAGCAATATTTGAAGTGATATTGATAGTCAGGACAACTAATAAGAAACAACATTGGAGCACGTGGTATTGATATCTAGGACGACCATAAAATTGACCAATAATTCTCTTAGGATATTGGATGAATATCTTAACAGTAGACTACCTGGTTGTGAGGCAATAGTAACCAAGAGTTATAGTTAGACTTTAATTGACATGGCTCAAAATTGTTTGCAATAGCGCAGATCGATCCACATTTTATCTTCTTTCAAATTCTAATCATCTTAATTCCTCATGACCGGTCTTTTGATTTTTTAATTTTAAACTGATTCTTCTGAGATATACTTTTCGAACCTTAATGTCTCCAATTACTGCCAAAACTTCTACTACATCTCAGTCAATCAGTTACAACATAGAACTTCGTATGTAAGTACATCAGTTCATGTTGCCATACCTAAATTAGCACGTACAGAGACGCGATTGTCAATTCAAATCCCATACTGGTAGAGATAGTAGAAGACATCATCTACAATTATGGGATTTGAATTGACAATCGCATCTCTGTGCGTGCTAATGTGGTTTTGGCAACTTGAACTGATATAAGTACGTATGTACAAAGTTCGTTCTATGTTGTAACTTGACTGACCCATTGACTGACTGCTATAGATGTCTGTCTGTAGTGAAGGAGAACACAGGTGAGGGCAAACGAATTGTATTTAGCGAAAATTACAGAGTTACTTAGTAAAATCGGAAAACCATATCGTAACCGTTAATTTGCAAATCTTCAATCAATCATCAATCCATTGTCTGACATTTCACTATTCATGCGTTTCATAAAAATCCCATTTTGTTCCCGCTCTTCCTTTCTTGATCTTCTCCCATCTTCTGCTGCCAGACATTACGTTTACACTCGCGTCATATATTACTTATAAGTAGCGCGCACCACATGTCTTCATTAGAACCCTAATACATACCTTTTATGTATTTTATTATTCATTTTAACTAACATTTTAAGTTAACTTCAACTGGTGGACTACATGAATTCAGTACAAGATCACCATCAAATAATCAATTGTCGAAAGAATTAGCCATATTACGTAAAACAAATCAAGAATTAAATATGAAATTTAATCAGCTACAAATGGAATTAGATGAACGTTCACGTGGGGCTGGTGCTGGTAGTACTACTTATGATAAATTGAAATCTTCAATGGTAGGTTTCGGTTTGGTTTGATAAAAATGTAAATTTTTGTCATAATAATAATAATACCTTTCAAATCATCAATCAATCATTGTTAGACCACCATTAGAAACCCGGCAGCACTGGGTGGCCGTTTTGTCCTCCTGGTATGGGACTCATCATCAGTGGAAGTGCGCATCCACTACTTCTGCACCTGGCAGGATCCGAACCCGGGCGCTTCAGTATTGTGAGCGAACGGCTAACCAACGGACCACTGGGCCGGCACTCAACGGTGTTAGTGTAGTACTCTGATTGATCTAGGGATTTTGCGCGACCTCACCCATACCAGGACGAAACGGCCGTCTAGTGCTGCCAAGTTTCTAATGGTGGTCTAACAATGATTGATTGATTGATGATTTCAAATTTGTAAAAACACTAATCTCCATAACTCTAATTGAAAATAATATTAACAATAATAATAATAATAAAAGTTCCATACATTCTGAGTTGGTGGAGAAAATTTGTAGCTTAAATGGATGATTGTGATGGTGTTTTGTTCTCTGATTTGGATGATTTTTGGTTGTGGAGCTTTCATTGTTCTTCTGAACAGAACAACATCATCAATACAAACTTCAGATAGAATAAGTGGAGTATTCGAATTTCTCCACGTTCGACCAGGCTTCTAAAAAACAAAGGTGCAAACAACGACAGATTTAAGGTCAACAGCAATCAATCAAGATCGAGGTTAACAGAATAAGCTACATGTCAAACGTGGAGAAATTCGACTACTCCACTTCTGTTATCTGACGTTTGTGTTGATGATGATGTTGTTCAGTAAAAGAGCAATCAATGATCAACAACCGAAACAACATCCAACTCAGAAAACTAAACACCATTACAATTCCATATGTATTCTAAACTCATGATAAATCTAAATAATCATAAATCAATCATTATTAGATCATTACCATTAGAAACCTAGAATCATTGAATGGCTGTCTCATCCTGATATGGTATTCATCAACAGCGCGCGTCCATAACTTCTGCTACTCACAAAATTCAAAGCTACGATCTTCGTTCTTGCACGTGAACGCCTAACCTTTGGACTAGCGCATTTATTGTGTTCGCTGATTTTTCTCTTCACCTTTGGGCTAGAGGATATCAAGTCAGGGTTTGCCTTGTGACAAAGTTGAGTGCTTTCCTCAATGTCTGTCATATCCACCTTCAAAGCTTTTCCTTAATTTCTCACTTAGCTGGAATCATGTTCGTCCTCTCCTACAGTAAGTTGTTGCAGATGATGTCCGGCCAACAAGTCCCACGAATTGTCAGTTAATAAATCAGCTCGACTCCTACGACTTGTCACACATACGCATGAAACGAATGAAATACCTATTACCCCAAATGAAGAATCGACCGCCGACCAGCATTCTCCAACCATCTCTACCCCAAGGCTCTTCTTAATAGTTTTCCCCCAACTGCTGTTCATTATTTTATTCATGTCTACGTCCAATTCTTGGCACATTGTGTGTTCTTTGATCTGCCTCTGATGACAATATTTAGTAAAAATGATAATTAATATAATGACGCTTTAGGCTGTTTTTTGATCGATTTGAGTCTTTGAAAAGCGTAATCAATTCATTTATCGACTGTATTGAATTGTCTAATTGATATGTGGAGCTGAAGTTGGTCAGTCTGGTTGATATAATATGCATCTTGTGAGGATTGTCTCGATATTACGGTTGAGTCACAAATACTAATAGCAGAGTGTTACGTATGCACGTAAACCTGTAATTTAATGTGCTTGAACTATTACTAGTTTACCTTAAACGAGAAATGAGAGCGAGGATCTGGCGACACGACATGCTACTGTAATCCGAGTGTCCCAACCCCTAATTAGGTAGAATAAGAAGGCTCGATATGAAGTAGAACCTGTATTCTGCTACCATTCAGAAAGTGTTAGGTCCGAGTCCAGAAGGGAAACAGGATCCCGGACTAGGGATCTGGGTCCAGGTCCGGGTCGTAAAACAATACAGAAAATGCGTATTTATACATTTATGTCGAATAGGGAACAACATCGAATTCTGTGGCATAGACATTTAGGTCGACCAATAGCATGCAACATTTGGAGTACGTGACAATGACAGTTAGTACTATCAATAGGAATTAACCAATAGAATTAGACTTACAAACAATTGTCTTAGGATACTGGAAGAATATCTTAACACAGAGATAAAGAGATGGTGGTTAGCAGTGTCCATCATAAGAACTTAATAGTTAAGGTGAGTAACGCGCTGGTGTTTAAGCCGGACAGTACTTGGTTCGAGTCTTGAATACTTGTACATCTAGATGAACAGTCTTATTAACTAAAGTGAAACTCTCATGCTGAATTTTGCTGTTAAACACATTCTATCTACTCGACGTAAAATCATTTTCAAACTAGACTAGTAACAAATGCTACATACAATAAAAATATTTTATCCCAGTAAATGTGTACTCAATACTCTACTATTTTACTGTGTATAAATTGAATTTTTATATTGACTTGTATGTATATATTTTATAGGGATTACATACAACAGACTTTACAGAAATGGCTACATTGAGACGAGAACTAGCTTCTGTTAAAGCTGAACGTGAAGTAGAGGTACGTTAGTTTTGTTTCTTTTTTCATTTGTGTATGCGTGTATCAATCAATAATTTGATATAATCTATTAGATGACGTTAAACTTTATTTCACTATTCAGCAGTATAATATATTTTCATTGTATAGAACTGTGGTTGTTGTTAAGTTTTATTAAAATCAGGAATCGGTCAGTGTTAGATCACCATTAGAAATATGAAGCCATTAAATGGTCGTTATGTTCTAGTACAGCACTCACCCGCAGTGCACATCCACGATCCCCGTTTGCGGGAATCGAATCGAGGACTTTCGGTCTCACGCACGGACGCTTAAGGGATAACAACACTGATCAGGTAGCTAATAGTGTTAATGTCTAACTTTTAATTAATCCACGGTCTTGCGCAACCTCAGATCAGTGAGCGCTACTAACGATTGAGATATGGGGACGAAACGTTCGTTCAATGGTTCCACGTTTCCGATAGTGGTCGAAAAAATGATCGATTCATGATTTCGAAGTAAAACATATATCTTCAGTTAGTCAGTCAGTCAGTTAAAATGTAGAACTTCGTACGTACATACATCAGTTCAATTTCCCGTACCATATTATCACAGAGATGCAGTCGTCAATTCAAATCCCATAGTAGCGTAGATAGTACTAGTATTAGCAGTAATTGGAGAGATTAAGATTCGAAAATATGATTCAAGAAGTATAATCTAGTCAAACAAGTTTAAAAAGAGAAAGATGAAGGTGATGAGTAATTCAGAAGATTAGAATTTGAGAGAGCACAAGGACTAGATGCACCTGCTCCACTGCAAACGATTCTGAGCCATGTCGTTCAAGGTCTCTAACTATTGGTGACTTTCGTCTCGCGGACTCCAAACAGGTAGCCTACATCTACCAACATGACTCAGTCCACTTGTCAGTGACTTCATGGATTTCTGCCATGTTTTCATTCAAGCTACTTTGACACCACAAAACCTCTCTCGTAGTGGCAGTCGGTGGTTAGCTATACATAACACATGTCCCAACCACCTCAACTGATGAAGTTTCATTACTTCATCTATTGATTTGCCATCCGTACCTAGTACTCGTTTCCTAACGACACCATTGCTCACTTGACTGTCCCAGAATATACGATCAGTGCTTCGAAGACACCTATGATTAAAGACAAGCAATCTACAAATGTCCTTTACTCTTAATGGCCATTTTTTCGCATCCGTGTAGTAGGACGGAGCGATCTATTGCACGGCACACTCGACCTTTGGTCAGCGAACTCATATCTCACCTGCTCCATAGGTGACGCATACTGGCAAAAGCCAATCGAGCTTTTGTATCTGTGCTGAGATTTCGTCACACGCCAGGCCATCAGCACTGATGAGACTCCCAAGATAAGTGAGGCGTTCGAAACTCTCGACTACGCCACTCCCTATCCCGAACATGGTTGCATGGTTGCTTAGAGTAGTCAGAATACTCTGCATTTTGTCAGCGTCTTCACCTTCATCCGCATATTCTAGGTCAGTAAGCGACTTTCCTGGTAGAATGTCGACTCCAGAAATGTCGGACGAGGATAATGTTATATCCAGGAGCATGTCTATGACAAAATTAAACAAGAAGTGGACGAGTAGACAGCCTGCATAAGGTTAATGTACTTCTTTGGTACACCTTTCAATGACAGGCACTGCCACAGAACCTCACGATCAGCAGAGTTGAATGCCGCTTTAAGGTCGAGAAATACTACTATTATGGGGCGTCTGAACGTGTGTCTTTGTTCTATGACCTGACATAGTGTCAAAATGTGGTCTATACAACGACGTTCAGGTCTGAAAACAGCCTGGTTTTCTCCAGTCTGCTCTTCACGAGCTTTCGTTAAGGGTCGGAATATTATTTAGGCCAATATTTTAAATAATACATTAGATAAAAGATAAATAAATCCACGGTAAAGAATATATTTGCTGGTAATTTCGTGGTGTCAAAAGAACACCGAAATTAAACAAGGGAAGTAGGCGAATTTACAGAGCAGCTAGAGCGAAGAATGGCGGCAACACAAACAGAAAGTTTACCCGTAAAACATGTGTTATAAACGAAAAGTACAATTAAACGACCACTGGTACAATTAGTTATAATAATGAATGTTTCTATCAAACCAATCGCGTTCTCTTCATAAAAGGGAATCTGCCTACAAATGTACTCACTGATCTCATTTTTAAAAAAAATAGAATCTACTTAAACAAAACATTTTAGAAACAGTAAACGTTTAAACCGATTAATAATCCACGCTTGACTGTTATAAATTCTTTTAAACCTGATAGTTTTAAAATAAATTAATTGACCTCAATTGGTTACCATTTTAATAAATATACTTGTACATTGAACCCTTCCTAATATATTGAACCGTTCGCTCACGAAAGAAAT